ATGTGTCTCGCTGCATTGCGCGAGTACTCTTCTAGTTATATTATAAAGGATTTGATAAAAAACTCTTAAAAACTATTTTTATGTATGAAGTACTGTTTATTGATTTATATTACTTAAAATTCAGATTACAAGTAAATTGTGCACAAGTACAACTTATTAAAGTTTCATATTTGAATTTGTGTAACTAACTACAGATAAATATGATCAAATAAAGGATAAACATTTCATTTTAAATATTGAAAAATCTAAAATATAATGAAGATAATCATTCAGTTATAACAAAATGTTTAATTATTATCTTTATAAAAAATTATATTATTAAACCAAAACTAAATTACTTTGTTATTAAAATCTAAATTAAGTTATAATAAGAATTTGAATTAAAGAAGTTACACACAAAAAAAAAAACGAGAACTATTAAATAGTTAATTTGATACTAATATCGATTTATTTTTTTCAAAATTTTATGTTACATTCAAATTTACATTTCATTAAAAAATAAGAACATTATTGCATTATCAAAATCACATAAAATTGTATTATATTGATAGAGACAAAGAATAAAAACTAAACATTAAAATCAAGATTTATCTCGCTGCATTGTGCAAATATCATTCTAGTTATTTATATATTTAGAGGTGTTTGGTTTTTAGAATGTTTTATGAAGAAATAAAATCTGTTAAAGTAATTAGAATCTAAAAAGAATTTGGACGAAATGTTATCGGGTTTGAGTAAGTGTTAAGTTGGCAGTAAATTGAATGTGATCGTCGAATGAATTAGAATATATCTGAGGGTTGGGTTCCTGGTGAGAATGAGAGTGAATGCGAGAAACGTAAAGAGAGATTCCCACCATTGGATGTACATTAAGATGAGATGCACTGAGATATATCGGTTCAATCCTGTATCAAGTGTGATTCATGAGTGTGTTTGAGATTAAATGCGATCAAGGGTCCAGATCCCTTCTTACGCTTCTCATATTAACTCTCATTCTCATATGATCTTTCGCCATATGTCTGTTCGGTTTAACAAATGTAGCTTGTAAATTGGAAGGAGATAATGAAAAATTATCAAAATACCCTTTCTTTGAATTTTTTTTTCTTAAATCATAAATAATAACTAGAAGGGTACTCGTACATTGTAACGAGATGTATCTCGATTTTAATGTTCTATTTTATTCTTTGTCTCTGTCGATGTTATAATACGATTTTATGTGTTTTTAAGAAAACAATAATGATTT